GAATAGTTTGGAGTTTGAGTGATTTAATGGGAATGGTGCATTGCTGTAGTACATATGTACACATGTACTACCCGTACACACATACATATATCGTGAATGTTTGATTGTCGTATGCAAACAAGTACGCGTACTATTACACACCACGTTGAAACGAATACAAGGCGGGACCACGTATATGTGTATGTATGTACACATGTATGTATATTTATGTATTCACAACCCTCTATATAGTTGGGGTTGATATGTAAAATCGGCCGGTTGGCACGCGCCGCATAAAATCGAAAGACGTGAAAATTTAAAGCTGAACACAATCAAATGGAGCGCCCGAATGTATGTTAAAAATAAAATTAATTTAGCATGATAAGGTTCAGTCAATATAATTGCACCATTACTTTTTGTTGCGATTGCCAATGCTCTCTACTGAAAATTACAAAAAAAAAAAGTTATTGCAAACAGATAAAGAAGGTAACATATAATATAAAAAACATAAAATTTTCATATAATGTTTATATTTATCAAATAATATTTTAAAAATATGTATGTAAATTTTTATTTCTTATGCGAAATCCTAAAATGCAGCAATGTATTGAATGCAAATGCTTTAAAACTTATTTTATGCTGAAAAAATCAAGTTAAAGAGTTTTTACTTTTATGGCTCGAATTCATGCATTTATTTGCTTCTAGTCAGACGTTTCAGCCTAGACTATCAACTTTAATGGTTTTTGCAAAAACAAAAACTTATTTGGGGAGGCAGCATAAGTATGGATGTATGTATGTACATATGTATGATGACTCAAACCTACCAAAGCACATACCATTTAAAAATATGTGTATACATACATATGTATGTATATCTACTCATATGTATAGAAAATATACAAGCCTTCAAACAGAAGCACCATCATCATGATCTAAGTGATAATCATTTTCCCATCCCTTCACTTGTAAATCGTTGGCGCAGTGAGAGCTCCAACGGAAATGGGGCTCACCGCTGCAGCCAATGGCTGCATTGTGGGCTGGCTGTGTAAACATACACATACACAAACACATACGTATGTATACAGCACAGACTAGCAGCAATGCTGCTAAAACGTCAAAAACGGTGGTGTGTTTTCGCTTTTTCTCTTTGGTTTTCCTACCACCCTATATAGTTGCTTTTGTAGGATTTTTTTGTTTTTCGCTCAACTGCTGTTTTTGGTTTTTGTTGTTTATGTGTGCATTGCAACGGTTTGCCAGTGTTTTGGGAGATGTCGATCGCCTCGCATGCAAGCGTTGTGCTTTTACTCACCACCCCACCACCTCCTAAAMCTARTAGCAGCGGTCGTGCACTTCGCTTSACTCCTTCTTRCTTTTGCACAGGTGACTCTCCAACTTCTTTAAGCTGCATAAAAGTGGAAGTGAGCACTAAACAAAACACAGCTCGTCTTAAGTTCTCATACYGGCGTACGAAGTTTTTGTTTTTGTTATATTTGTTATACAAAACTTTAACAGTATAGTATACWRWAACAACAACACAACCACACAATCACCGCCGCCTGCAATTAATGTATGTACATACTATTTGTACCATAACCCTCGTCTCGAAAACTGTCTCCAACCCCAATGTCGTAGTTATTGCCGACATCGCCATCATCATCGCCATCGTCGGCAGTAACGAAAAATCAATAAAAACTCCATTAGTTTAGTACCTTAAAATGAATTKGTCGGCGCTTTTGTTAGTATTTATAATCTTTTACTCAATTCTTTACTGTTTTCCATGTTCTTGTGGAGATTTTATCATATGGTCGAGTGTCACCTTTAATGTAACAGCGCGACAGTGAAAGCTGAGTTTTTAAACAATATATGATTGGAATTGGTCTGGCGTGTGAGCATAAAATATTTTAAACACGCAAATTTTAATGAAGGTTTTTTTATTAACTTATTGGGTGAATTGAAAAAATATATTGGTTATAAATGCTATTTTTGCTGTCAGCTTAAGTTGTTTACAATAGGTACCATTACTATACACTTTCACAGCCAAAACAAGAATTAACGTTAACTTCGGTTATACTGAAGCCAGAATACCCTTCACGAATAAAAAAGTTTCCATCCAATATCTTGTCAAAAAATAAAAGTTATCGATAGAAGGGATATAATGGCAGTTCCGACAAATGAGCAGCTTCTKGGMGAGAACAAAGACGTGTGCAAATTTTCGGATCGAAATCTTAAAGACTATAGGACTAGCACTTATAGACGACGGACAGACAGATGGATGGATGTGATTAAACGGATTCTGTTCATCACACTGAATATTTGCATAGGGTTTGGTACAAGCCGTCGTCTTCTCACCCAATGCAAGGACATCAATGATATAATCCACCATGAATTTGTTCCTCCTGGACAAATCGTTAATGCCAAGTTTTACGTGGAAGTCCTCAAGAGACTCAAACGAAGGATCAATCGGGCCCGAAAAGAYACTGCTAYCTAACCAAGGCCGGCATCTYAACRCTTCYGCAGCCGCCTACAGCCCATRTGKGGCTCCCGGATTTTTGCCTGAAAGGTCGATGAAAGGCAAGCATTTTGAGACGACAGAGGGATCCAAGCAGCATGCACCTCGGCTCTCAAGGCTATTCCGGACAATGCCKTCCGTGATGCCTTCATTGCTTGAAATCGCGCTGGCAGCGGTGCAATTGACTGCATTCAAATCTAACTACTTTGCTAAGAAACAAATGAAAATDTAATTGACAGCGATTGGGAATTATAGCCAGAAGAAACACTAACACACTTCTACCTGCGTAAGGACAAAATATTTATTCCTCAATATGTGCAATTAATTGCATGACAATATGCCGCATGCAACGCGAGATCAATGAACTTTGAGTGGAGCCGTGGTGCTGAGAGCGGAGGAATCGCAACGCGCGAAGCAACTCATGGAAAGAAGGAAAGGCAAACGAAAGAAAGAATTCGTGCATATGGTACATTGGTTCGTGTGCCTAAATTTAGCCTACACACACTTACGTATATACAAACAGTTTGCGTTGCTATGACAATGTATTGAATTATGAAATAGCAGCATCCTTCAGAAGTCACTTTCGTTTGGGGTGGTGCAGCCGAGCGTGGTGTGGGCGCACGCGAATAAGAAAGTGACATCGTTGCAAGCGCGAAAAGCGAACAGCGAGCARCGTCGATTGTTGACACGCTGTGACGGGGGCGGTGCACTAGAACTTGGTGTCAATGCAGGTAATAGATTGATTGACGATGGAGAAGCGTATGGTGGACAGTTTTGAAAGTTTGCAGC